TTTTTACATAACTGTACAAAGTGCAATCATTGACTTGATAGAGTAAAGTAGTACCAATTTTCTGGAATTGATACAGGTACACCCCTTGGAAGCCACTTAACTTCTGTCTCTCCCATAAGCATTTTATCTACTTTAGTATCCACTCCATTAGGACTTAGGGATATGACCCTAGGTACTGCTCAAACTCCTCTTATGCCACCACCCTCTGAAACAAGACCAAGACAAGGTTAATTATTTGATTTTTTTAGATAAGGATACTTTGTTATTTACTTGCTATCATTTTTACAATCTATTTTCTTTCAGGGAACCAATGTTTTGGTAGTTCTTCATGTATAACTACCAAGCAACCATCGAGATTGAATTCTCAGACAATAAACTTGCCCAGAAAAAATCTTCATTCAGACTTTACAGATGCAGGATCATCTTCTTATCATAAAGGTAATATTGGTACCCTTAGTTTTCGACCGATATTCTACATTCATTAACTGAATAATGAACTTTTTTACAATTATATCTCCTATAGGACACTCTGCTACAGAAACTAATGATACAGACTTCATGGAGAATAGCAGTGATGAGGAGATGTATGATGCAAATTACTCTGTGGATTTGAGTGAAGATGAAGCAGTGGTGCAAAATTATGACCATAGTAGCAGTGAGGATGAAAGTTCAGTTATACATATTCAGACAATGGACGCAGGTGCAAACATTGATGTTTCATCAGAACCTATTCACACTGTAGAATCAAGAATTGATCCCAATCAGCATCAAACACAACAAACAGATACTCAAAAAAAAAAAAAACACGTGTCAAGGCTAGAAAGAACATGAAATTAAGTATGTCTGAGTTAATTATTGTACTTTGACAAATAATATGGTTATCTGATATCTGCTAACCATATATGATCTCTTTTGTTTTCAGCTTATCTTGATCATGGAGATCCTACTTACCAGTGTAAGTATTGTGGTGCTTTTATGTGGTATGCTGAGCGTATAAACAAAAGACGTAATCAAAAGGATCCTACTTTTACACTCTGTTGTGGTCAGGGTTCTGTTAAATTACCTTTTCTTAAAGAGTCACCAGATTTAATCAAGAAACTTCTTACTGGTAATGATGCACAGAGTAGAAATTACAGAAAGCATGCCAGGATCTTTAATATGGTCTTTGCAATGACCTCACTTGGTGGAAAAGTTGATAAATCTATACCGAAAGGTCACGGACCTAGCATGTTTCGAATGCAAGGAGGTAACTATCATTTGATTGGCAGTTTAAAGCCTGCAGTTGGTGACTATGCTAAGTATTCACAGTTATATATTGTTGACACTAAAAATGAAGTAGAAAACAGAGCAACTGTTATCGGGTATTAATTTCTAAGACTTTTAACTTTTTTGTTTTTACTGCTTCTGTTGTTCTGTTATCTTTTCATAAAAAAGTCTTTCATTACTTCCTGTTTTGTAGAAAGGGCAAGGAATCCAACCAAGGTGGAGGTAAACAGAATCTAAACAAGGAAACAATCGAAGCCATTATGAAGATGCTCAATCTCTGCAATCCTTATGTCAAGAATTTCCGAATTGCGAAGGAAAGATTTAAAGATATTAACTGCCAGCCATTTCATATGAGGATATGCTCTGGTCGTAAGGGTGTAGATGGAAGGACTTACAGCATGCCTACTACATCAGAGGTTGCAGCTTTAATACCAGGAGATTTTACAGAGGATATGCCAAATCGTGATATAGTTATTGAAGAAAGAACTACAGGTCACCTCAAAAGGATTAACCAGATTCACATTTCTTATCTAGCTCTACAATATCCTCTGATTTTTTGCTATGGTGAAGATGGATATAGGCCTGGTATCGAGAAGTGTTATAAAGGGAATGTCACTAACAATAAGAAGAAGAAGTGTATTAGTATGCGTCAGTGGTTTGCTTTTCGCATTCAAGAGAGGCCTGGTGAGTGCCATACTCTGCTACTATCTAAGAGGTTGTTTCAGCAGTTTCTTTGTGACGCTTACACAACTATTGAATCTAATCGGCTATGCTACATAAGGTTCAATCAGTCTAAGCTCAGATGTGAGAACTACAGCTCCATCAAAGAAGCTGCTGACTCTGGTGTAAAAAATATGGAAGATGAAGGTAATCAAATCTTGATTCCAGCCTCATTCACTGGTGGACCTAGGTATATGGTGCAAAGTTACTATGATGCTATGGCCATATGTAAACATTATGGTTTCCCAGATTTATTCATCACATTTACATGCAACCCTAAGTGGCCTGAGATTACCAGATACGTTACAGAGAGAGGGTTAACAGCTGAAGATCGGCCAGACATTGTTGCTAGGATTTTCAAAATCAAGTTGGATTCCCTAATGAATGATCTAACAGAAAAGAAAATGCTTGGGAAGACTGTTGCCTGTAAGTTTTCTTCATTTTGATAATTCAGTGGATTAGGTGAAAGATAACATATTGAAAATGATGTGTGTATTTTTCTTTTGCAGCTATGTATACAGTCGAAGTTCAGAAAAGAGGCCTTCCCCATGCTCACATTCTTTTATTCATGGATGCTAAAAGTAAACTTCCAACAGCTGCTGATATTGACAAGATGATTTCTGCTGAGATTCCAGATAAGGAGACAGAACCAGAGCTGTATGAGGTTATTAAAAATTCAATGATTCATGGTCCATGTGGTGCAGCAAATATGAATTCTCCGTGTATGGTCGATGGACAGTGTTCAAAACAGTATCCTAAGAAATATGAGGAAATCACAAAGGTTGGGGCTGATGGTTTTCCTGTGTATAGGAGAAGACGCTCTGATAACTATGTTGAGAAATGTGGTATTCAATGTGACAATAGGTATGTTGTCCCTTACAATAAGAAGCTATCTGTTAGATATGGTGCTCACATCAATGTTGAATGGTGTAATCAAACCGGCTCTATTAAATACTTATTCAAGTATATTAATAAAGGTCCAGATAAAATGGCATTTGTTGTTGAGCCTGATAAACCGCCAACAACAGAACAAGGTTCAAATATAGATGGAAGCTCCGCTACTCATGAATCATTACCAGAGGAGAAAAAAAAGAATGAAATAAAAGATTATTTCGATTGCAGGTAAATTGAGTAATGTGACTTCTGTTTTACTTATTTTTATTCTATAGTCATATACTTAACATCTTAAGATTAATGATACCGTGTGAAAACTGCAGATATGTTTCTGCATCAGAGGCTATTTGGAGGATATATAAGTTTCCAATCCAGCATAAATCAACACCTGTTCAGAAGCTGTCTTTCCATGTTGAAGGGAAGCAACCAGCTTATTTTAAAGGGAAGGAGGATATAACAGAAGTATTAGAAAGAATTACCAATCAGGATTCCATGTTCATGGCCTGGCTGACATTGAATAGGCTAAATGCTATTGGAAAGAATGGAAAGCGTGCTCAAGAGCTCTTATATGCAGAAATCCCTGCATATTTTACTTGGGATGGGAATAATAAGCAGTGGAACAAGAGGTCTAGAGGGTTCTCCTTGGGTCGTATTAATTATGTTCCAAGGAAGCTAGAAGATGAATACTTTCTAAGAGTCCTCCTTAACATAGTCAGGGGTCCAACATGTTTTGCTGATATAAAAACATACATGGGTGTTGTCTATGCAACTTACAAAGAAGCATGTTTTGCTCGTGGAATCCTAGATGATGACCAGGTATACATAGACAGTTTGGTGGATGCCAGTCAGTTTTGTTTTGGTGATTGGTTGAGGAATTTTTTCGCTATGTTGCTGCTGTCTACTTCTCTTTCTAGACCAGAATATGTTTGGGAACAGGTATGGCCTTTGTTAGCTGAAGATATGCAACAGAAGAAGAGGGACGAGTTCAACAATCAAGGTTAATTCAGATATTAATTCATGTGCCTAGATTTAATTACTTTTTTGATTAGTTCTATTTATATGGAAATCCGTTGATGTTAAATCAATCTTTTTGCAATATATGCAGAGCTGAATCTTACAGAAGCAGAAATCAAAAACTACACTCTTCAAGAACTGGAGAAAATTTTGTTGTTTAATGGAGGTACTCTTACAGATATACAAAACTTTCCCCGCCCAACTAGAGAAGGTATTGATAATTCTAATCGTTTGATCGTTGATGAGATGCGATATGACCGTCAGGATTTGACTGAAAAACATGCTGAATGGATAGAGATGTTAACACCAGAGCAGAGAGGTGTTTATGATGAAATTACTGGTGCTGTTTTCAATGAACTAGGTGGAGTTTTTTTTTGTTTATGGATTTGGAGGTACAGGAAAAACGTTTATTTGGAAAACACTTTCAGCTGCTATTAGATCTAGAGGAGATATAGTTCTTAACGTGGCTTCCAGTGGAATCGCTTCATTGCTGTTGGAAGGTGGTAGGACTGCGCATTCAAGGTTTGCCATACCACTTACCCCCGATGAGTATTCAGTGTGCAAAATACCTAAGAAGTCTGACCTTGCAGATCTAATAAGGAAAGCTAAACTTATTATATGGGATGAAGCACCTATGATGAGCAAGTGGTGTTTTGAATCTCTAGACAAAAGTTTCTGTGATATAATTGGTAATATAGATAGCAAAGTGTTTGGTGGAAAGGTTGTTGTTTTTGGAGGTGATTTTAGACAAGTTCTTCCTGTAATCACTGGTGCTGGCAGAGCTGAAATTGTCATGGCAGCCCTAAATGCTTCTTATCTTTGGGATCACTGTAAGGTACTAAAGCTCACTAAGAACATGCGGCTACTAAAAAACGATTTGAGTGTAGAAGAAGCTAAAGACATTAAAGAATTCTCATATTGGCTTTTAGCTGTTGGTGATGGTAGAATTTCAGAGCCAAATGACGGTGAGGCTCTAATTGATATACCTGAAGAACTGCTAATTACTGAAGCAGATAATCCCATTGAATCCATTACTCTAGGGATTTATGGAGATCCAGCAAAGCTAAAAGAAAAGGATGCTAAGTTCTTCCAAAAGAGAACCATTCTAGCACCAACAAATGAAGATGTCAACACAATCAACCAGTATTTGTTGGAGAAGTTGGATGGTAAGTAAATACTTCTGATATATCTAACTTATCTCCTTTTAAGTAAATCGCAGATCTAATTTATTAAGTATCTCTGTTCTTTCCTACAGGCGATGCAATGTTATTTCTCAGTGCTGATAGTATAGATCCTGAAGACTCCGATTCACTTAGAAATTCTGTCATCACACCAGATTTTTTAAACAGTATCAGGGTATCAGGTTTGCCTCACCATGCGTTAAGTTTAAAGATTGGTGCTCCAATCATGCTGCTTCGGAATATTGATCCTAAAGGAGGTCTATGCAATGGTACTAGGCTTCAAGTTACTCAGATGAGCCCGCGTGTTCTTCAAGCAAAAGTCATAACAGGAGACAGAATTGGTGATATTGTTTTGATTCCATTAATCGTCATTACACCGTCAGATACAAAACTACCTTTCCGGATGCGTAGAAGACAGTTCCCAGTATCACTGGCTTTTGCTATGACCATTAACAAGAGTCAGGGTCAATCTCTAGAAAGAGTTGGACTCTATTTGCCTAAGCCAGTGTTTTCTCATGGCCAACTCTATGTCGCTTTATCTAGGGTTACTTCTAAAAAAGGTTTGAAAATTCTTATCCTGGACAAAGAAGGTAAGATTCAAAAGCAAACAACAAACGTTGTTTTCAAAGAGGTTTTCCAGAATATCGATTGATAATTCTGCGGCAATGATATTTCAAACAGGATTATCATAAAAGGTATGTTTACTTTACCTTGGGATCAATATGTTTGCTTTATGGTTAGCAAAACCCACACTTATTTGGACTTATATTTCACTTGCAATCTATTTACCATTTTCTAACATATTGATTATCATCAAATTGAGAGAATAAAGGTTTTAAGTCTACCCATTTCAAAAGTAGGAGCTAATTGTTACGATTTGTTTTACTTCCTTAAACTCTCAGATTTTGTGTTGTTCAGTGTCAACAGTTATATATATCGAATTAACATGCATCAACAAACAACCATTAAGCAACAATTATAGAATTTCCTCTTCATTCTACTTAACATTTCATAAACTTCTATATGCAAAACGGAACTAAGTTAACTACCAATTACATCATACTGAAAACTAACCTCAATATATTGTTAGAACATATCGCAGCTTCTCTTGAGCAATGATCCCATATCTTCATATAAAATATTCACACTGTTAGAAATCAGACAAATTCATTGAAGTCTTATTCAACGTTTACAGATTCAGAACATTTGGAAAACATTGCATGACAAACATTTGAATTGCAAACATCAGATTAGATCTTCAAATATATAATTTGCTGTCTACGCACACATGTTCCAATTTACAAACTATCGAAAACCCAACAACTTTTGTTGATCGAAAATGAAGAAATCGATGATATATGTTATAATTCTGGAATTAGAATAACTTACATATTTATTTTTCGAAAGGGAATTGTCTTCTAGAACTCGATCATCCGATGCAGCTACAAATTGGATGTCAACTTGAATGATTAATTGGTTTTTAATTTCTGAAATTGGTTAGGAAATGGTGAGTTGAAGAAGCTCAATCAGTCGGTGGAGAAGATGCTCAACGACACACAATTGTCGTTTTTTTTTTCCATCCAATTGTTTTTTTTTTCCTTCTCTGGATTATATTGGGCTGCACTCTATTTTCAGTAGATGGGCCTCAGTTAAAATTGTTGGGCTTCTAATGTATTTGAGACTTTGCTTTTTATTATATAGTTAATTTGTGTATTTAATATTTTAATTATGGTTTTACTATTAAAATTAGATGATATAAACTTATTTATATGATCTTATATAAAACAAAATTTAAATATTTTCATACATATATATATATATATATATATGTCTATATTTCCAATCTATAAAACACAAAACAATAAATTTATATAAATCTAATATTTCGAAATTATAATAAGTAAATAATTTTAATGTGTCCTAATACTTTTAACAGAAATAACCATATTTAATTACATATTCTTTGTTTATACTGTATCAACTAAAAATATACATTACTGACGGTAGACCGAATTATACTGTTTATATAAAAGATGTTAACTTATGTACGACATGAGGTTATTATACCTATTAATATAATAAACTTACAACTCACAAGAAATCATCACAAACGTTCTAATAAATTATCTAACAACACAAAAACATAAAAAAGTGAAATGAGAATACTTAATTTAATAAAAAAGTCAATTAATATAATATTAAACCTGCGGTATCATACAAAAATAAAACAAAAAAAAAATCTGAAAACAATTAAAATTAAAAAAAGAATATTAGGAAGATCTGGACTCTCCGTAACGGCTAGTTCCAAAGTACCGTTTTTTTTATAATTATTGTCTCAAGGGCACGCTCTGACACATTCACACTCATAGAGAGAGAAGAAGAAAAACAAAAAGCACAAAACTTTTGCCTCTACTCAATACTCATCTCTCTCTCAATTCTCTGATTAGGGTTTTTCATAAACACGAAGAAAAAGGTTCTTTTTTTTTTTCAATTCGATTTGAGAAGAAGAGAGAAGATAAATCGCCATGAACATCTTCAAGAAGAAGACCACTCCCAAAGGTAAAAAAAGCTTTAAACTTTATCACCATTGTCCCTCTCAGATTTTGTCTTTCTGGGTTTTTGTCTCTTCAATTCCTGCTAAATCGCGATGGATGGTTCTAATATCTGTTGGGGAACAAACAAGATTGTACCTTTAAGTGTTCTTCGTGTTCAAAATTGAATCTTTTAGTGTGGGTTAGTGTGAATTTTTCTGGGTTCTTAGTTTCTATAAAAGGGTAGATAAATTCCTTAACTCGAAATTGGAAAATAGTAAGTTGTCCAGATTTAGATAACTTTGTGAATTTTGCAATTTTGCTTTTGATTCTATTGAAAAAGTTGTGATTTTTACTTTTTTCTAATTCTGCAGATGCTCTTCGTACCAGTAAGAGAGAAATGGCTGTGGCTACACGAGGTATGTATAGGTTTTCAATCTCTTTCAAAATTTGACTTCTTGATTTAAGAAGATTGTGTTTTGTTGGACTAGTGTTTGAATCTGTTGGTGTTTCGATATGTATCACTCAATTGCTACTTACTAAGGATTGGGTTGATTACACTCAATTTCTGGCTAAAGAATGATTTTTCTTTCCAATTTTGCTTGAGATTTTGTTTTATATCACTTAATTTCTGCTAGTAAAAGAATTGAATGGATGCATCATAGATCTTACTGCTTGAAGGAACCTATCTTACTACTAATTTCATTGAGATGTTGTTTTTGTCTCTGATCAGTCTAGCTTTTTGGGAGTTTCTTTATACATTTTGATTTTACGATTCTCGTTATTGAAAGTGTTGAATTTGACTAAGATACAACTAGTGATTAATAACTTACTGTTTGATGAAACCTTTTTTACTACTATTTCATTGAGATGTTGTTTTTGTCTCTGGTTAGTCTAGTTTTGTGTGTATTCTTATGCTCTTGTTTGTTTCACTGCATCATTCTGTCCATTTAAAACCAGACCAGAATTATCAAACAGAAATTTTTGATTTTGCGATTCTCGTTATTAAAATTTAACTCGTTATTAATTTTATGAACTCGATGCTTAGGGACTGTGTTGTTAATTTTATGAACTCGTTATTAACCTCTGTTCTGTATTCTAACTACACCAAAAGAACATAAGAAGCATAGAGCTAAGCTTTGATTATGTTGTGAGTTGTGACTTACTTGAGTCTAATGTCATTGCAGGTATCGAACGGGAGATTACATCTCTTCAACTAGAGGTATGATTAAATTCAAACTGCGAGCTTCTCTTAGTTATATTGTTTACTAACGTTATGTCACAATTAGGAGAAGAGACTAGTTGCAGAGATCAAGAAAACAGCTAAGACTGGAAATGAGGCAAGTCTTCATTTCAATCCCTTTCTTGCAAAAAGACCATTTTTTAAATTCTAATAACTTCACTAACTGATCTTTGGTCTGTTGATTATTTCATAGGCTGCCACAAAGATTTTAGCTCGTCAACTTGTTCGATTGAGGCAACAGATTACCAACTTACAGGGAAGTCGTGCTCAGATTAGGGGTGTGACGACTCATACACAGGTTTGGTTTCTCTAGTTCAACATCAGATAAACTAATAGTTTGATGAGAATAACTCGGTGTTAATACTAAATTACTGTTGTCTTCATTTCTCTTTGGATAGGCTCTGTATGCCAGCACTTCGATATCATCTGGCATGAAAGGTGCTACCAAAGCTATGGTTGCAATGAACAAGGTAATGTTATTTTGTTTCGATACTCAGTTTCTTGAATAAGTTGATGAATCTCTAGGAACCACATTAGTTTCTAAACAAGATAATGCTCAACTTCATTACTATGTATTTTCAGCAAATGGCACCCACTAAACAAGCCAAGGTGATTAAGGATTTCCAGAAGCAGTCGGCACAGCTAGACATGACGGTAAACAAATACATTTGGCATTTAACATTTGATTTGTTGGCAGGATTTGGCCTTTTAACATTTGATTTGTTTATTGGTTGTTGGATTTGCAGATAGAGATGATGTCAGAGGCAATTGATGAAACACTTGACAAAGATGAGGCTGAAGAAGAAACAGAAGATCTCACTAACCAAGTTCTTGATGAGATTGGTGTTGGTGTTGCATCACAGGTCAGGTTTCTCTGCGCTTTAGCAAATTAATTTCTTCGTTTTCAGTTTCTCGGGTTAGTCAAAAACTAAAATCTGTCTTCTCTTTCCTTTGTTTTAAACAGCTATCTTCAGCTCCAAAAGGCCGGATTGCTACAAAAACCGCAGCTCCTCCCGCTTCCACTGCAGCAACTAAAAACAACAAGTGAGCTAATGTCATAGATATAAAGTTTGGTCAAATCAAAATCACAGTGAAGAAAGAAAGAAATCTAACCTTTAGTTTAACTTGCAGCTCTGAATCAAGTGAAGTGGATGAGCTTGAGAAGAGGCTGGCTTCGCTTCGACGAATCTGAGATGTATGAAGAAAAAAAGAAAGAAAGAAAGAAAGAGAGCAGCTTCCTTTCTTTTTGTTATCTCTGTATAAATCTGCTGAAACTTAAGCTGTTTAATACTAAGATTGATCATCAGAAAACTAAAAGGCTTTTAAGAAACGAAGAAGACATGTATACACATATATTATTACTATAGAGTTCCTCTACGTAGCCATTTGATATTCAATTTAATAAGCATGTCTAAGAATATAGTTAGTCATTGGTTTGACAGTATACAGTTTATTGTGGTATTTGGTCCTAAGAGACGGTCATTGGTCGGTCACATTCTCATTTTTTTTCCTCTTCACCTTTTTTATTTATCCGATATGTAAGTTGATCACATTTTCATTATCATATATCATATATTTTCGGCATCACAACTATGAGGATCTCAAGTCAAAGTATTTGACCTTAAAAGATCCTCAGGTTATTTGGAGCAATCTAAAGTAAAGATATGATCACCATAATGTGAAACTACCTAAAGCTCGTTAGAGTGGTTATAACTATATATCTCAGCTGTGTTCACAAGTTGATAATATATGTATAAAAATATCATTGGTCCATAGATGCTAGTAAAATAAATACTCTAATTTTCACGCAAATAATGTTGTCATGCAAACACAATATCGTGAAAAATGACATAAGATGTATTCTAGCCATATATCTTTGTCTTTTTATAACTGAACAAAACAATGAGCTATTAATGAAAAATCATGAATCACGTCCAAATGAAAAAAGAAACAAGTCTCCTTACCTCTCCCGTTTATTCACAACAAAATATCAAAACCATAATTGTTGTTGTTTGTTATCATCTTTCCTTATCTCTCCCGTTCGTAACCACTTCGATAGCCACTTTTTTGCCAATGTTATTGGTGTGGTTCTTTTTTATCAGTATTAAGTTGTTTCATTGACTTTAGAGAATAGAGCAGAATCATTTGGACGTGATTCATGATATTTCATCAATAACTCATTATTTTGCTGAGCTACAAAGAGACAAGATATAAGTTCTAAATACATCCTTTATCTTTTTTCATGGTATTGTGTCTACATGACAACATTATTCGCACGAAAAGTAGAATATATCTTCTCTAACATATGTGCATCAATGTTATATTCATTTACATGCTTCAAGGTTTGTAACCACTATAAACGAACTTTAGGTTCACATTCTAATGATCATACTTTTATTTTAGATTGCTCTATCTTAATTCTTAAGGTCAATTACTCGGTCTTAAGATCTTCATGAATGTGATGGCGGATATTTATAATCATGAAATTGTGATCAAATTACATATTATATAAACAAAGACATTATCATAATTATTCTATTAAGTCGCGAAAAATTAGTATTCCTATTAACTATATCACGATAAATCATCATCTAGATATAAACACAATAATTCTTTCTTTCTTTTTTTTGACATCAAACACAATAATTCTAAAACTATGCTTATTAAAGCGTTGATCTTAGCACTAAAAACGAAATACCTAACTCATTTAACCAAATACTTAAATTCTACGATCAAGATATATGTAGTAAACATGAGCTTAAGGTAATTAGCAGTGTGTTTCCAATCAAGATATAAAGGATCAAACAAATATACTATAAGCAAGTTATGAAGTAATAAGTAATAAATTTCGTCATATCAAACAAATAAAGCAAGCACTAAGTCAAAAACTGAAGAAGAGCTGATGACCTTTTCTTATATAAACATGATTAAGAATAAACTTTGATTCCATGATCGATAGAAACTCTAGTCCCTTTTTTTTTTTTTCTCTAGAATTTGGATTCATTATAGGGCTGCCTGTAGGTGGCATCCTATACAAAAGTCGTTCAACTAGAATCATCCTGTACTATTGACTTCTACCCAATTCACCCTATACTAATTAAAAACTTCCCAATTCGATCTAAGCTTTTAATTTCTACTTATTTCAACAAATTCAATCAACCCAGTTAATTGCGTTTAAAAATCATAAAATCGCGATTACTGTACCGCGATTATACTAAATCAAGTTTAAAAACCATAACCCGAATTGAATCTTATAACCCGAGAATCACCCTGTACTATAGTTCACACCTACTAATATACATTAATATACATTGGTAATTTACGTTAGTAGTTTTTCGTAAATTTCTTTGCATCAGGAATCACCCTGTACTATAGTTCACACCTACTAATATACATATAATTAAAAACCATAACCCGAATTGAATCTTATAACCCGAATTGAATCTTAGGTTATAGTTTTTAAACTTGATTTAGTATAATCGTGGTACAGTAATTGCGATTTTATGATTTTTAAACGCAATTAATTGGGTTGATTGAATTGGTTGAAATAAGTAGAAATTAAAAGCTTAGGTCGAATTGGGAAGTTTTTAATTAGTATAGGGTGAATTGGGTAGAGGTCAATAGTACAAGGTGATTCTAGTTGAGCGACTATAATATAGGATGCCACCTAGAGACAGCCCTTCATTATACGATTAGAGTTTTGATAGCATCCCGAAGCTAAAAGATAAGCTGATCTATAATCAAGCCATAAATATTAATATGCCATAGATATTTTTATGCATGAGCCGATCGGATCTAAGCAACATAATTGATAAATAGAACTTATCTTGATGACGTGATTTGTGACATGGAGACATGCATCAGAAAACGAAGACGTTGTGGCTTAGGGAAATTCAGTGGAGATCTTTGTTTGCTCAATCGGCTAGGGTTTCCTGGTAACGTATTTTGAATGAAGAGATAAATTTTTTTTTTTTTGTCTCTTGTTCCATAGACAAAATATATATGAGGATAGAAACAAACTTGGAGAATCTTATTATATAAAGTATGGTTTTCAAAATTTCAAATAAAATTTTCTTTTTTTTTAAGAAAAAGAAAGTAAAAAGATAATTATAAAAAAATTATAGATTTAAACAGTTTTAAAATGTAAAAAGCTAATTATAAAGAAATTTTACATATATTTCCATAAGAGTTTTTGCCATCTAGCAAACAAAAATTTTGTTTTTAAAAGAGAATTATAACATAATTATAAATTTAATTTTTTTTAAGAATATAAAAAGATTATAATAAGAAAATTATACATATTTAAGGAATTTAAATGTATATTTCCATAAAAATCAAAATTATAAAATTATGCTAATCGTTTTATTTATAAGTTACTAACTGTACAAGAAAAAGATTTAAAATTAGAAAAAATTAAGAAAATTATAAAATCAGTTATTAATCCTATAAAAAAAAAGATAGTAAATAGTCACCTTTATATAAACAAATAGATTGTCTCATATTTTCTCATCAAAGAAACTAATTTCTTAACGATGTTATATCATATCAATTATAAAAAAACATTTTGAATCACGATGTTTTTCTAAAAATAGCACGTGATATTCATATATAATGAATATATGGCCATTGAAGCAAATTAATAATTATGAACGGCGATAGACATAGACTAGAGTTATTGTCGAAGAGGGTTGGTCTAATTTCGGAAGAGATAAAGAAGGTGGAGTAATGAGAAAAGTTGGGAAAAGAGGATAAGAGGCGGTAACAGTATTGTTGGTGTTGATGATGGTGGTTCAAGCTTGGTGGTGGTGGCGGCGGTAAATATTGATAAAGGTGGTGAATCGGAATTAGTGATATTCGGTATTGATGGTGGTGGTGATTGTGATAGTTGTGAGATTCAGTTGTGGTGGTGGGTCAGAGTAGTGAGACTCGGTAGTGATACCCGACGAATGCGAAAAATGGAGATAAGAAAAAAAAAGATATGGTGGTGAAGAAATCCGACGAGAGGGAGAGAATGAGAAAGAAAGAGGAGTTCGAGCAAAAATGAGAGAAATCTAATGAGAGATACATAGAGATTTAAGAATTATAAAGAAGAAAAAACAAAAAAATTGATAATAAGGGCCTAAAACGACAAAAGTCATATAGCAAATAGATAATGTTTAGTCTGATGTTTTTTTCTTAATTTTTTTTTAGTCTTAAGTTATTTAGTGTATATTCTTTAATTCCTTATAAGGTTATTTTCTTTTTGTTGAGGATATTTCATATTATCAAGTAAAGTTACATGACATGGATATAGACAATCTCATATTTTCTCTTCTTTTATTGTCACAATTTTATTATGATGTCAAACTTTTCTAAAAAATCATCTATATTTACGTAACTCAGACTATATGTTTACATATTATACATATATCGTTAATATGTTTACGTAACTATATAATTTTATCTTTTCTTATTGTCATAGTTTTGTTTCCATCTTACATACATTAAAATAAAGATGTAACACACTCTTCTGATGGATGTAAATAACTTATTAAAATTCAATAATACAACATATGAACATTTATGACTTCATAACTTATACTCCCTCTGTTCCTAGAAGATTGATTTTCTAGAAATTTCACATATTTTAAGAAACAATCATTGTTTAATTATTTATTTTTATTAAACACTTTTTAATAAACTATGAACCAATAGTAATCTGAAACAGTTAATCTGAACGTCTTGAAATCTAGAATTTATTAATATCAATAAATTAGGAATAAAGAAAAAATGTAGAAAATCAATCTTTGTGGAAAAATTTATAGTTATATAATTTTATAAATAGGCTAATATTTATATTAGATGATTTAATAATTAGTATCACATAACTATACATAATATTTTATATTGCGCTTTATGCTAATATATCTTTATTTAGTCATAATTATGCTGCATTTTCTAACATATATATGTTTATAGAATTTTAGTTAAGTTTACAAAAATAAAATAAAAATATTAAGAATGATAATCTCGACCGGCAATCCGTGCAACGCACGGGTCCATATCTAGTAAGTTATAAAATATCTAGAATATTGTAATGGACTTATAATGAATATCCAATATATTCATTTATCTGTTTTTTTTTTTGACAGCATAATCATTTATCTTTAATTATTTTTTAAATTATTATATTGATCATATCCTTTTCATTTATGATTAAAGAAATAAAAAACTAGCAACTCCTGATTTTGATTTATAGCCGTGTTTTAGATATTCTTCGTGGACTATTCATCAAGTTTTGGTTTTCTTTAGACTATGTCAAATTCTACACTGACATTATTAGCAATAAATGTTTCACCCAGAAAAACCGAAACTAATTGATAATGCAATAAATGTTGTGCTGAACTTGTCTTCGTTGGAGCTTAAACCATTCACGCAGGCACATAACTATGAGTGTTGAATCAAAAGGTTTAGCAAATTAAGAAAAAAGAGATGGCAAAAAATTTAGGAATTTTCTTGGTTCTAGTGGTTCTTTTGGTGCCATGCTCCATCAACTATGCTCTTGCTTCTGCACAACCACAAGAGTCACTCCCACAAATCGGTTAGAGCTGGTTCTAAAAATATTTATCCAAATTTTTTAATTCGTATTTTTCAATAATTTATACATACGTTATTTAATTAAAAGTAGTTTAATCTTGAAATATCCAAAATATAAATTCCAGAAAAATGTTTAAAAAAAAAACCAGGGTGCTGAATCTAATTTGTGGCTAAGCTTTGGTTTGATTGTTGTTAGTTTGGATATATATAAGATAATAAAACCAAATTGATTCTTTTTTCCTTTCAGTTTAGTCTTTAGAATTCGGTTTGTTTTAGCTAAACCAGATTAACACCTTTTATTTGACTAGATATATAATAAGTTTTAGGTTGTTATGCTAATTTCAATATATATATTATAAAGACATAATTCTTAACTTTTTATGATTGAAAATCAGAATGGAGAAGAATGATGATCACGGTACGATCATCAACAAGCCAACGAGCTAGGAAAAGAGACATACCTCCCTCGCCTTCTCCATCATCACCACCTTCGTTGTTGCCGCCCGCACCGGGGCTTTGAGGGACCACATTTCTTGAAAACGAATGGATTATGTTGTTATTTTTGGAATCGTTATATTGATAAGCAATGCATACAATCTACTTAAATATTGATTTTCTTCATACATGTGATGAATTGTTTATTGGACAAATTAAAAGATAATAATTGGCAAAGTTGGTTGGACATCAATTTTAACTATTTAGATTGATCCTTCCATCTTATAAAGTGTGTTATAAATATGTACAGTCATTTAGATTCAAAAATTGATTTAACATGAAACTTAGGTAGAAAAGGTTCTAATTTGACTTAAATCGCAAACAAATTCAAACTGGATCGATCCAGCACAAATGGGATCGGATCCATCAACTTTACACTTGAATATGTCCATGTATCGGTTTTTCATAGGAGTGGCTTTCTAAAAATGAACTACTTAGTGTCAGTTTAACTTGTGTCTTTTAATATTATCGAGTGATAATAAGATTGGTCATCAGAAAATCTAATGCTTTCGAGAAAACAAGAAGAATAGAGTTCTTCCATATGCAACAAAATTTCTAGACTTGCCGTTTATTTTGTTAATTATAGACTTGCCAATTCATCAAAAGTATAAAAAATAAAAAATAGTGTAAAATCGCCATTAGTTAACTCAAATGCAGATCAAATACATACAAAATTATATAAACCAAAAAAAAATAAAAATAATTACTTGTAGCACTAGTGCTCAATTAGTTTGAATAGCAGATGATTTTGAATTCTAAAAGCCGTGTGTTTAAATTTTCGTCGTTGAAATTTCATCAATATTTGGTCGTATATCCCATAATTTTCACCTCGGTTTGGACTTTGTCAAAATCTAAAATAATTCAGTCCATAACCAGCCGTGGGGTTTACTTCGAAATGCAATAAATGTTTTGTTTCAGTCTTTACAGTACACCAGCCACTAGTCTTTATTTGCCATTTGCGGAAGGATATTAATAAGAATACTGAATCAAGAGATTTTGCAAATTAAGAAAGAGAGATGGCAAAAATGATTGTGTTCTTGCTTCTATTGGTTCTTTTGGCCGCGCCACTACAAGAAAAACTGTCTAAAGCCACAAACTTTTTTGTATCTACGTCTCAAATTTTGTGGCTATTTTGTCTATACTCTATAGCATCGGAAAGCCACAAAAAGGACTTGTGTCTATAGGGTTGTAGCTTTTTTGGTCCCGTGGCTATCCATGGAATAGTTGCCACAAACTAGCCACAATCAAATTTGTGGCTAATAGCCACGAACTTACCACAATCAAATTTGTGTCTATTATAGCCACGAAATATCACAAACTTAGTTGTGTCTGATAACCATAAATTGCTATAAATAGTTATACAAAAAATTTGTATCTATAGCTTTGTAGCTTAGTTATGGTGGTTTTCTGTGGCTATTCTAAAATAAAAAAAAATAAAAAAAAAATATATATTTTAAATTAATTAATTAATTAAAAGTGAAGTTTTCTTATTAAATAATTAATTAAATAAAATACAGCTGTTGTTTCGTCCTCTCTTGTTCGGCGGAGAGATTGTCGGCGACAAGTTCGTTAGGCAACGAGACGGCGAATAAGAAAGTGAGGGAGATCGGAAAACGTGGCGGCGGAGAGAACTTGCGCCTCCTCTCTTCCTTTCTTCTTTCATGGTTTCCTTTGCTTCTCCCTCTCCCCTTTCTCTGTTTCTTCTCTTTTCCCTTTGAGGTTCTCCCCCTCGTCGCTTCTTCAGAAAACCGGAGATTACATCATGAAATCGCGTTCGGAGACAGATCTGAGAGAGAAATCGTACCAGTTAGAGAAAAAAAAAAACAAAAAAAAATTCAAATTTCTCCAAAAATTATGTAAATCTAACCTTGAAAACGAAAAGAACTATGTTGAAACAAGATGAATTCGTTGTTCTATCCTCTCATGTTCCACGATTTCACGATTTTTAGATTAGCTGATGACGGCAACGACGACGCCGATACGTCTTTGCCTCTTCCCCTCATGATTCCTCGTATCATGTTCGTCTCCTCTTTCTCACAATCGTTTCATTCTATTGGTACCTTGCTCCGTTGGATTTGGATTTGTTATAGAGATTGATTTTATTTTTAGAGTGAACGACGAAGAGAAGAACGAAGGAGAAAGAGAAGAACGAAGATAAGGAGGAGAAGTTTTGACCACACAAAAAGAAAAGAAGGAGAAGATTTAATCCGTTAGATTTAAAGTTATCAATGGTGGAGGATAAGCCAAAGACCAATCCTTGTCACTATGGAATAGCCAATGAGAAACCTTCATTAGTTTGTTTTTTTTGTAAATATTGGTTTCATAGTTTTTGATTTAGTTTTGAAGTATAATCGTATAAAAGTTAAAGGTTTAGAGTTTATAATATAGGGTTTGGAATTTTAATTTTTAGCAATTTGGAATTGCTCTTTTAATTTTGAATATATATAATAATTGAATTTTTGGTTTAGAGATTTAAATTTATAAGTAAACATTTTTGTTCAAAAATTATTTTATATAAAGTAAATATGTAAATAGTTTTAAATATTAGTTTTATGTATATATAATGGTTATGTATGTGGTTTAATGGTTCATGATTTAATTTCTATGAATTAAGAATTTAAATTCTAAGATTTAGAGTTTATGGTTTAGGGTTTGGAGTTAGGTTAAGGGTTTGGGGTATAAGGTATAGGGTTAAGATTTAAGGTTTAGAGTTTTGAAAATAATATTTTTAATAAGTATTAGATCTTGGTTTTAGGGTACATTAGAAATTATTTTTGTGAATTTAGGGTTCTAAGGCTTGTGTAAGGGGTAAAGTGTCTTGTATAGATGTATAGCCACAAATAAGTATATGGTACATTCGTAGCTATCTCATTAAGCATTATTACATTAATTCAGCACTACAAAATTTGCGGATATTTGTAGCTATTAAGCTACGAATAATCCACAATTCTATTCGTGGCTATAATAGTCCCGAT